AGCGGGCGGTTGCCCAGGTGCATCAGAAAGCGCTGTTACATGCGGATTAGAGACTCCATGTAGCGGAAGCGATAGGCGCTGATGGAGTCTGCCCCATCGACGTAAGCGCATGGTGCTATAGCACTTGCTGTCCCTAGTGCCTTAGGCACGCGGGTCTGCTAACCCACCATCGTAGCCAACTAGAGCCAGGATCCAATGGACGACGGGTCAACTGATTATCTAAGGATAATCAGCGCAGCCATTGGGAGGTGCACTGCATCCGCATACATTCGATTTACTAACCCAGACCAGTCAGGCGCTTGATGTGATACGTGTGCCGCATCGTCGTTGCAGTTGGTCTGTACGTGTGCCTGTGTGTTGATTTTCTTGCATTTCAAGGATTGATTGTTGTTTGATATTCCTCATATGGCTGCGCTTGATACTTACCTGTCTATTGCTCACCACTTGTCCATATTGGCTTTAGAAGACAGTTGGTCATTGCTGGAGGAAAGGGGGTGCACGGTCCACGTGACGGTGCCAGGCTCAAAGAGTGGTTCCATGCATCCTTTGTGGAACAGGCTACAGCCCAGCCACCGCCTTGTGTACATCTGGTATGCATGTTTTCCTGTTTGGGCCTGAATGCTTCCGCTCTGCTTGTTGAAGGACTGTGGGCCTTCTCCATTGATAAAACATGGCTCCCATTCACATGACTCGCGGTCTTATTCTTTCGCATTTACACTGGGTGTGTGGGTAGAACTGTGGGTGGTGCAGCGCAAGCCACCCATAGTCCTTCTGTGGTTGCAGGCGTCCTGTGGCTGTCATATTAAGGTCACAGTGATAAACAAATTCCGTAACTTCCTGAAACGACGTCTGATCAGGAGTCTTCGAATTTATCGGGACCGTTGATGGATGACAAAGGCCTGTGAGATGAAGAAAGCCAATGCTATTGGGAACAGCTGAATGTTGTTCCATTTCATCCGGAACACGGGTTCGAGAAATCCATCAGTTAGCGGGACAATAGTTGGGAAAGATGGAAAGTTAATCCATTCTCAACTTCGTCTACTAGCCCGTTGGGTGGAACATTTTGAAGAGCATTCCAGCAGGTCTGCTGTGACACTGTCGCTTGCCGAATCACCTGAGTCTTTCTGCGAAGTGGATGGCACATCTCGTACTTTGGAAGAGACTTGACATGAGCTTTCCGTATGGAAACGAAACAAGTCTCCTGTACTCGGAGACTTTCCTCCATTTTTGCGAAAGATGATGGTGACTCTGTTGACTGGACTCGCTGTTCTGTTTAACACTATTGTGAAACACTGAAGAGGTTCCTGTAGACTGGTGACTGTCGGATGTCATGCTCATCTTCAAGAAGGGCCACGGTAAATTGCGCGAAAATCATCGAGACACTAGCCTTGTTTCCGTTGCCTCCAAACTTCTCAGAGTTATCATTCTCTGACAACTTACTGGTCCCCGTGAAAACCGAATCACTGAAAGCCAGGCTAGCTTCCGCCATTGTCGTGGTTGTATAGACCACATATTTACTCTTTTACTAGACTTGGAGTAGAGATATACATACAGACGATGGACTGTTTATGTTTTCCTTGACTTGAAAGTCTCCTTCAACTCTGCTGACCGCTCCAAGTTGTATCACTGCCTATCTATGAGGAGCGTGCCGGCTAAAGTCTTTTCCATTATGCAGTCTTTCTACCGTGACTCCTAGGACCGTGTATGAGTCTACGGGAAACTGTTTCCAGCACAAGTGGGATTCGCCAGGGTTGTCCTATATCTCCTTTCCTTTTCAACTTTTTGATCGAATTTATCATGAGTCCGTTGTTCCAGATTCTACCAGCGTGAAACTTCTGCCAGGTGACCGACTGACAAATCTGGAGTATGCGGACGACATGCTCCTCTCGGGTTTGATGCGGTGACTGCACAAACACTACTAAATAGACTGACGCGTAGCGCTACACGTTCTGGCATGTGCTTTACACCTCCGGTCCCGGCTATCACCGAACAGTCACCGGAAGTGGTGGATCAGTTCACTCACCTTGGTAGCTGTGTTGCCTCTGATGTTCACATCACTGAGGAAGTTACTTCGCTTATCAATAAGGCCCGTGTGGCTTCCAAGAGATGGCATGATATCAGTCTGTCAGTGAAAGTGTATAACGCTACGTTAGGGCCGTCTCTACTCTATGGATCAGAGACCTGGATACTTCACGGAGAAGTCCTTACATGCTCCGCCGTGTTTGACCACCGGCGCTTGCAGAGTATTGCTCACGTCTGGTGGGAACAAGAAGTGATCAGTACTGAAGACCACCACTTGGCTTTTAGCAAGAATCCTTCTGGTGCCTCACTCGTAAGTTTGATGCATCTTAATCGTTTACGTTCAACTGAAGTGATCTGAACTGACAGCAGATCTGGATTCCGCCGAGTTACGAAAAGCGATTTTTCTATATCCGATGAACTCCGTAGTTTCTAGTTATCGCTTTATCGTGCTTTTTTATGACTTCCTTCCCCTTAATGGACAGACCGAACTTAGTACTAATGTATTTATTCGGAACATTTCCCCGTCCTCTCTATCTACTACATTGCTTTCCTTCTCCATGAGATATTTGCCCAGCATCTTATGAAAGTAGAAAAGTTCCATACAGTCACATCGCTTTGCTCGTTGTTAAGAAAGCGCCAGCAGTACGCCGATACGCACTGCCGACGCTTCGCCACCCCGCGCAACCACCACGTCGCACGTATGCTAAGGGTACTGCTTGGGTCGCTCGAACCCGCGCATTGGGATCACGACGTAGGTTTGTGATCTCTGAGGCTACGGGCCGGCTCCTTGATAAGAACGGAAGAGGCGTTTAAAGAGATAACTGTTAGGCTATGCCAAAACGGTTCAGTTGTTTTTTCCACATATTCTAATAAGGACGTGCACCGAACACCTTGATTCATATAACATCCGAGGTTGCGTGAAGTTTTCCTTGCCGTTTCTTGCTGCAGGAACACGAGTCTGCAATTGCATTTCCTCAGTTTTTGATTCCATCGTTAGCTTCATACACCCTGAAGACTGTATCATGACTAACTAAGGTGCTGATGAATCCTTCAGTTATCCGTGTAGAGAGCACAAACTCGCATAGCGTCTTGTCTTTCGGGCACTGGGTAACTGCTTTTTTCCGTGAGCGTTATTTGACATGGAACATCGTTTCCAAGGTATGTCCTGGTGAGTCTCTGTATTTGTTGACCGCATTCTATGTTTTTTTTCGAACTAGAGTAAACACGGACAGCTCCCATGGGCTTTTACATTTCACGATCACTTTTTGCTGATTCGTGGTTAAAACATCAGCCTCCACTGCTTCCCCATATGTTCATTGTTTTTGATTTCATCATGTAAGGAAAAATGGATGATATACTACGTATCGAAACTCTGTACGCTGTATGTTTACTTACCGTTAGCAGTTTGTGTCGAGTGTGGGTCTCTCAGGTTCTGGTCAGTGTTGTGTGCCTTTGGTTCCGGATCATAGATACTTGTGCATATTTACCACACTGATTAGTAGCTTTTCATGGGTATCATCAATTGGAATACCCACTGTCCATTCAATCATGTATAACTGCTCCATCATGGTCTGTTTCAACGCCCTGTACTTGCACGCACAGCGTCTGTACTGATGGCCAATTGTGACGGCGCGTTTGTTTTCGTTCGACTTGCCAGCCGTCAGTGAGAGTTGTTTGACTCTGCGAATACCGTAACAAGCCGTTACTAGCTGGGAAACATTTGATCTTCACCTACACCTTAACGGTTTCATGACATATTAATAATAATACTAATAATAATGTTAGTCGTTTACTTCTTAACAGCTTAAACTGCTTTTATGGCGTTTGTTTATATTACACCACACCGGCCTGTAAATTCCACTACAATAAGTTATACGCAGTAAGACGGTTTGCTGGTTTTGTGTACCCGAGTTTTCATGTATAATACAAATAGCCTCATTCTACAAAAACAAACTGTAGCAGTTCAACTCTTGGGCCTTAATAGGACCATTGGTGGCTTCGGTTGCGTTCACTATAGCTGACATGGGCGTGCACTCAAAATGAAACTAGTAACGGACCGAATTTAAGCGCCAATAAACCTACTTCATTGTAATTTTCCGGGACGCTTTGTACGTTTCTTGTCTAGAAACATTTTTATTGTCACTGGGTGTTGTTCCGAGGCAAGCAGCCGATTCCCTCCAACATCCTGCCTGTAATCACCATCCAGCTGATGGCTTCAGTTTCTCCACTCAATATATAATTTCAATCGAGTATAATTAGTACCTGGCGGCTAGAAATGAATTGAAGATTAGCATGAATTGCCTGAGGGTCGCTTCAAACACTAGATATTTGCGTTGCCTTGTTGGTGGCATCCGTTTGCGTATTTGCCTATCTCCATGGCCCCAAGTATCCACAGGACGCCTGCGTCTACTGAGGGGCTATTTGTGAACTTCACCGTACCATTCAAAGCTTTATCCACACACCGTTGTATAGCTGATAGAATAAAACACGGAGGCGTGTGGAACGGTGCGACGGTTGATTCAAATCGGCACACAGGCCCTCAACATTTACAGTGTCAGTATGAATTTGGCGGGGGGGGGGGTAACGTTCGTGCCAGATGTGCGCGGTGCAGGGGCTAGACCATGGCCCGTTCCACATTAGCTTGAACCACTGTTTGAGTCTAACACTGTCACAAAAGCTGTATACCACTGCTTCCGCAGCGACGATTAGCAATTTCCTAGAACCATTTATCGAGGTGATGATATTCGGCAGGCAGTCACCTTGTCAGCATTTGCACGAGACATACGGCATTCACACGCTCACTTAAATTCGACACCGTTACTTGATTGGGTTGCCTACGCTCAGTCTACATCTGATCCAGCAAACTATCACCAGTTATATCCATCTCCCTGTATTCATTTCACTGTCATTCTCCACTCACTTGTGTTGCTCTTTGTTACAAAAAGCTTGTCCTATTCCTTTCCTTCGCTTTCTTGCAGCTACGCTTACGTCACTATGGCCACGCGTGAGATGGCCAGAGCAGCTCTTGAGGTAACTTCAGTTTCTGGTTGAACATTGTCCCAAAGCTTGATCATCAGATGGTGCACAACCGCTTACTCCGTGTCGCATACGCACGGCGGCAGTTTCCTCGTACGCGGCGCGACTCCAGGGGGTTGGATCATTCATCTCCGAGATCCCCCTATGGTGAGCAGATACGTTACTCTCTTCCGTCCTTTCGTAGCCTAGTTTACAGTTGTTCCGTTTATTTTCCTTCTTTTGATGGCACTATTATCGTTCTCTGGTGCATCATTGATTTTGTTGATGTCGTTCCGTTACCTATTCGCTATAGAGATGGTTCTTAGCCTTAAGGATCACAGGCCTGCTTTTTAATCTGAGGACCCGGGTTCGATTCTACGTAAGGACCGGACAATCCTCGCGGTATCCTTTACGCGTTGATTGTTGGTAGTTGCGCGGCAGCGAATCGTCGGCACTGTGTATTGGCGTACTGCTAATGCGTTTTTCGCTATAGTCCTCTCTTCTACTAGTGCATCTCTAGCTTATGCCCCTGTTTTGCATGCATCCTCCCGGCCTTCCTACTTAACCATTTTGGAGTCTAGGCGCTAGTAGTAGCTCTCGTTCTTTGCTACCTAAAGGAATGCCTTCATTGGGAGTATTAGGATTCTTTGTTAAACGGATTGCAGTGGATTACGGTATCTTCGGGGCCCAACGGTTCACCCTCATGGTAACTGGTATATGGAGTCAAGACTTGTTAGACGTTGCTTTTTTCGATCAACCCTTCCACCGAATGCTATTCGTCGGTATAGGCAAGCGTACGAATGCTGTGATCGCTATGGAACACATAAATTCTCGGATTGTCCATTAACGGAACGCATATGGAGTCGATTCGAGAGTGAAACCCATCTATGGTGGCGATGACTCTCCTATTTTGTGCTGCCTTTAATGCTGACAGCATCATTCTGCGACAGCACTAATGGCAACGTATCACCGATGGACCATGATGGTGCTCGTTTTAGATGATTATCGATTGATCTGAAATAGCTGCTAGGACACAAATCTCATCTTCATGTGTGTTCCGGATGGTACTTAATCTTCCGTCTAGGTCTCATGCCGCCTACTTGTCCATAAACTCACAAGCACAGTTCGAAGAAAGTGGCGGTGAAATTATCGCTGAGCCCTTGAAGTCAACTCTCTGCAAGCAGCCCGAAGAAGATTGGTCGCACGTCACTTGAAGCAGATTGGCTAACCAACCAGCATGAGCCAGTAGTGTCATTTTACCTTGAATTGGACCAATGCGAATGACCTGCCTTGTAGTCTTCCACTAAACGCAATACTTGAACCGCCAACAAGCGAATTGTTGCACATTTAGTAGTTGCTATAGTCAGGAACTCTCAGTTAGGTCATCCTCTCATGAATTACTTATTTTGACCCCATATTTTGGCTTTAAATAATGTCTTCCTGGCGCTCCATACAAATTTCCGCCAGACGCCTTTGTCTTCTGATTTGGGAAGTGGCTGTTTCGTGACCCGAGTGACTGTATCGGTTATCCGTACTGTCAGCGGAAACACGACAGTATTTGGCGACGGAAGCAAAGACAAAACAGTGGGTCCCCTTCAGCCATTTCGTTAGAGCAGTGGGAAGACATAAGTTGCGATATGTCAACATTTCGTTTGTTCTCACCAGTCGCAAACAGAATAGAAGTGGGATTCATTGACAGTTATAAGCAGGGGGAAAATTATCACACCAATCAAAATGTCAAAGTCAAGACCACGTTAAGCTAATTGATTGTCTCAATGGTTTCTGTGCACACAACACAGGCTGAGAAGCCCTAATTAGCAAAGCCTCACTAATTGCCAAAATTATCGGATTGTTGTTGCGTAATAGCACCTTTAATGTAGTCTCTGGATTCACTTGATGTCGAGTAAACAAGCGATGCTTGGTGATAGATGACGCTGGGATCCGGTTCATCCTCGGCCTAGTGAAAGCGCTCTTCTGCAGAGCGAGACGGATATGCAGCCCCGAAATGTTGCAAGCTGAAGAAGAATTTTTCTTCAAAACCCTGGTGTAAAATGGGTATCATGATGGGTATCATTCAGATCCACAACAGGCCTCCCAAGGAGAAAATACCGGTGTTAACAGCAGAGAAAAGAATGTTTATTTCTTCTTGCCGTTCAAAGGAAACCATGTTTCAAATGATATGAGACATAAACTCCGACCCGCTTTTACGCGCACCTGTGCGACCGCCCAGTTGCGACTTGTTCTTCATGACCGTCAGAGCAGCTCGTCTGTCAGTTCGGCATCTCACGTCGTTTACCAGTTCACCTGCGGTTGCGGTGACATTTACATAGGCAGGATTGACCGTCAGTTAGCTCAGAGAGTAGCTGGACATGTGTCGAGGTGGCTGGAACAACTGATGACGCAACAAAGCGGTGTGGATCCGAGAATGAACCGGAGCCCAGCATCATCTGTCACCAAGCTTCTCTTGGCAACTGGACATCAAGTGAAGCCGGAGACTGCGTTCAAGGTGTTATTACGCAATAACAATCCGATAATTTTGGCAATTAGTGATGCTTTGCTAATTAGGGCTTCTCAGCCTGTGTTGTTTGCACAGAAACTATTAAGCCAATCAGTTAGGTTACCGTGGTCTTGATTTTGACATTTTGATTGGTGTGCCAATTTTCCCCCTGTTTATAACTGTCAATGAATCCCGCTTGTATTGTGTTTGCGACTGATGAGAACAACCGAATGTTGTCATATCGCAACTTATTTCTTCTCACTGCTCCGACGGAAGCAAAGGCATTCAAGATGTCAATCTCAGCATAAGATTTGAAAGTTATCTTACTTCATCAACAGCAGCAATTCGAGACTGCACAGCTGCGAGTAATCAAGACCCTCACTCGAACACCATCGCTCCTGTCTGCAACCGTCCACAATGCTGAGAAACCTACAGTTGATGCACACTCAACAGCATCAGTGAGTTTGTGTTTCTTCCCGCTTCGGGCCTGGTTTTCGACGCTTGGTTCAGACGTTACGGAAATATTTTCAGGAAAGAGTTACGCAAAAGTGCTCAAGTGTTCAGCTTCGATGCAACAATTTCCTGGCTCACGGTTATGTCCGACGATTGGACATCGTTTTTCAACAACCAGTACTACTGCCTGAAACTGTGCAAAAGGGGTAACAATAGTCTTATTGCTCATGCAGCAACAGTGAATCGAGTGTGCTAGAAATTCAAGCTGATATCAGTTATGAAGACCAATTCGAGTGTTTGATATTGGTATGCAGCCTGCAATCTTCCAAGGATCCGAAGCAGAATACCCGCATTGTTGGAGCCAACTGTCATTGCAGAGGCCTAGAGAATCATCAACTTAAAACACGTAACAGCTGTGGTCGAGGATACGAAGACGCATTCCAAAACTTTCACAGTTCAGCAGATTTCGAGGAACAACTTTCCAACTACTGATCGCCAGATGCTCCTTCCACATAAGCCGCCATCAGCACGTTGGCAATGTGGAGGCTGGCATTTTGTTAGTTGGTGTTCATTCAATGACATATCTGCAAGAAATGCCGTGGTGGTGGGCATAAAGAAACTAATTGCAGATCAAAGCCATCTTTCAGACCGGTTCATGATGCTCGAAAGAAAACGTACTGTCATTTCACGAATAGAGTGAACGCCGCTTTTACTGACGATGGTCGGAATCGTAGAATGTACATCAGCATCAAAGGAGCACATGCGCGTTTGCAGGTCGATACGGCTTCAGACATCATGGTTATATCAGAAAGCTGTGGAGGTTTATCAGGTCGCCAGATATCAAACTTGCCAGTCAGCAGGCGAAAATTGCATCAAGTGCCGAGTTGCATTTGTTTAGTCAACTCGACTATGAGTGTCCTTATACCGACTTTACCGCATGGGGGACGATTTTCGTCACGATTCACCAGATTTTGAATTTTCTAGGTCTGGACGGGACCAAGCGTCCCAACCTACTTGATGTTCCGATCAATCTGATTTGTGCAAGTGTCCACATACACAAGTTAGCAGACCCTAAAACTGTAGCCGTTGAGCGCCTTCGAGAGAAATATGCAGCAGTCTTTGGGGGAGGCGTCGGTTATTGCACCAAAATGCAAGCTTCACCTTCACTTAAGTCGGGTGCTGTTCAAGTGTTTCGTACGAGATGTCCTGTACCTTACGCGGCAACACTAATGGTTCATCAGGAGCTAGATTACTTAGAAAGAGCAGGAGTAATCCATCCAGTAAACTGCTCATCTTGGGCGGTACCATTTTTTGTGGTCAAAAAGTCATACGGTCAGATTCGATTTTACGCCCATTTCTCGAGATGTCTAAATGCTGCATTGAACGCCCATCAATCCCCTTTACCGCCTTCATATGATTCGTCTGCAAAGTTGACTGAAGATAAATATTTCGTAAAGCGGGATCTCTGATGCATACCGGCAGATCGAAGTACATGAAGCTTCACGAGGATTACTCACCATCAATACATATCGAGGCTTGTAACAGTATCACCGTCTCCCGTTTAGAGTCAAATCTGCACCAGCCACATTCCAGCAGATCATGGACGCAATGTTGACAGATGTTGATGGAGCACCCGCATACCTGGACGACATCATTGTTGTCAGAGGCAGTGCTGATGACCTATTCGAAATGTTTGATCGAGTTCTTGCCCGTGTTGAGGCTCCGACCTGAGAAGTGTACCCTCTTCGTGGACTCGATTATGTTTCTCGGCTTTTATAATCGACAGGAGTGGCACGCGTCCAGACCCAGCGAACATCGAGGCAATCAAGAAGATGCTAGCCGCCCAAAGATGTTGCAACGCTAATGTCCTTCCTAGGACTCATAAGCCATTACAACCCGTTCCTACCGCACATGTATCGCTTGCATTGTGTACTCAAGGACCTGCTGACCAAGGATAAACGCTGGAGCTGGTCCGAAGAATGCCAGAGCTCATTTGACGAGGTAAAAAGGCTACTACGTTCCGAACTTCTGTCAACACATTACAATCCAACTTTGGAGCTTATGATGGCCGCGGACGCCTCGAACTATTGCATTGGTGCAGTCATAGCCCACAAGTTTGCAGATGGTTCAGAAAAGGCAATTGCACATGCAGCCCGGTCGCTGTTTACTGCAGAGCGAAATTATGGCCAGATAGAGAAAGAAGCCTTAGCGATAGTCT